GCGCGTGTACATGCGCGGCGCGCGCATGCGTACTAGTGTCTGTGCGATGCTCCAGCTGCTCCTGGAGGATCATGCAGGAGCTGTATGCGTCCTGCGCATGCGTGGAAGTGCAGAACTTGTCAAAACTGGGTAAGGAGCGCGGGCGCGCGGGTGGGCCCTTCGCCGTTCCCGGAAGTTACTTACTTCCGGGTTCGCCGACCAACCGGTTCGCAGGGACCGCCGCAAACCGGTTGAAACCCACCCCTGATATGGTGCCTCAGGAAGGAGATAAGGTCTTAATTTGGTTAAAGTTCCTTTTTTCTTCTTCTTCTTCAAATTAGCAGGGAATTGAACTAATAGTAGTTGTCTCCCTCCCCTTTTGCTCATAAACTATCTATTTGTGGGGGAATCTGTCAGGAGAATTACATTTCCTCAACTCTTTATATAATCACTTAATCCAAGACTAAAAATGGCTTGATCCTTAAGGAGCAATGATCCGTGCCATATTGCTTAACCACACCTGATTTATTTTTGTGTAAGTGGGATTGCTAAAGTAAAAAAAAAAGTAACTTGTTAAGCATTGTATACCAGCCTCCTTTTTTCCCTATTTTTAACACAATTCTGTGTAATTGCAGCACTATAATACAACACCAAAGACCTGTGCACTAACTCTGTTATTTGTTTACTTAGACCTCCCACAGCAAAAATCCAGATGGTAAGAGTTTTCTATACCTATTTCAAATGATGGCTAGTTGATGGAAAAAGCTTTATGCTTGCCTTTGCAACTCTCTAACTCTCATCTGGATTTTTGCAGCACAGGCATGGAGAGTCAAAATTTGCTTCCAATAATTTGTGCCACAAGGCAAACAGGAACATTTTCTTGTGGGAAGATTTTTATGCAGGTTTACAGATAAATATAATTTTAAATCAGTGTTTTTCAAACCTGGCAATTTTTAAGATATGTGGATCTTAACTCCTAGAAATACCCAGCTAGCATTCAAAGAGTTGAAATCTACAGATTTTAATTGCCAAGTTTGAAAACACTGGCCTGTCCCTGTCAGCTTTGCTGTGTAAGACAGAATTACAACCTGAGTTGCCCCAGTGGGATCAAGTACTTTATGCTCTGTAGTTTTGTAAGGTTTAGTTCATCTATAAAACAACCTCAGAAAGTGACTGGGGCTTTAAAAGCACCCCTAGCATGTGAACATAGCTTTTCAGATGAATTGTTGATATGAATACTATACCTACACAGATCCCATACTGTTCTATTTCGTCTAAAATCTTTGCTGCAGCTTATGAAAGACTCCAAAGATGTAGCATCATTTAGGCCAATCTCTCTGTTTATTGCATGAACCCAAATTAAAGCATCCTCACCAGGATTCAGCCTCTGCTCAAATGCATCAATAATTGCTTTCAATTTGGGTCCTATAATTAAGGTTTTCCATAGCATTTGATCAAGATGTATTTGCTAGCAAACAGCTTATTTTATTTTGTTTGTTTTTATTTCATGTCCTATCCTCTTGCACTTGAAATGAAGTCTTGATCTTTTAGACAGAGTCCCTTCTCCCCCTTCAGGACTTAAGGGTCATAGTATCCCACCCCACCCCCCCTGATTTCTTCATTTCTTCTTAAGGCTCAACGTGATTCATCTTCTCAGTTTTCCCCCTAGTCCTAGTGCCCTTACAAACAATCATCTTTTTTTAAACTAATTTTTATTAAACTGGGGTTTTTTGCAAAGTAAAAGCATCACAATTTAAAGAAAAAAAGAAAGGAAGGAAAGAAAGAAAGAAAGAAAGAAAGAAAGAAAGAAAGAAAGAAAGAAAGAAAGAAAGAAAAGTAAAAGAAAATAATAAGTAAATAGGAAAGAAATGAAGGGAAAAAATAGAAAAAAGTGAAACAGAAAAACCAGAAAAAATATAGAGAGGAGCAGCTTCCAATCTTCTTTACAGCAGTTATAAATGCATTTTATTTTTTACTGTCTAAAGTTACGTTATGCTCCCTTCTCTCCATATTCTATCTTTTGCTAATCAGCACACTCCTAAATCACACATTCATTTTTTCCCCTGTTTTCAGCAAAAGATCTATAAAGGGTTACTAGCAAATGTACTTATTGTCTTAGCCATAATCAAACAAGTTCCCATCTTTGCAAATTTGCTCATTTTCACTAACCATTCCTTTATTGTAAATATTTCAGAGTCTTTCCACATAATCCTTTTTTTTAAGTACACAACTCTAAGTTTACATTTGAAATGTAAACGTCATGCTTGGGGGCTTAAAGTGCTCAGAGCAGTGTGGGGATCTCTACACTGTAACTGAAGCACCTGCAGAGATCCAGTGCTCAGTCAGAAAGTATCTTTCTTGGTCAATCAGGGAGGGGAGATTTCTCAGCAAATCCAAGCTTGGTAATCAAGCGTCTCTTGCAAATCTCTTCCCATAAAACACATTTCTTCTCATTGCTGCTTGGAAGCAGCAGTAGATTCCCCATCTTGCCTCAGGCAGGCCTTATGACTGAAATAGATCTAAATGCAGGGTAAGAAATCAGCAGTGGGATTTACAGCTTAGTCTTCTGTGCTCAGGGATCTGTTTCAGCCTCGGAACGTGGCCTCACTTTCCAACTCTTTGATCATTTTTGTTACTGTTCTCCAGTTGCGCTAATACTTTCCAGAACTTTATACAGCACTCGAAATAAGGTTTGGCCAATGCAGAATAGAATGGAACGATTACTTTCTGAAACTTAGAAACTTTTTTTTTTATTGGTGTACCCTCAGTTTTAACAGTCCCATTCTGTTGCATGGTCATATTCACCTTGCAATCCAGTTTAACACCACATTTGTTGCATGTGACTCAGTTTCCTATCAATCGCTTCTCTGTGGTGTCTAGCTTAATTTCCTTAGCTGAATGTCATTATTTTAGGTGCAATGTATTTGCTTTCTTTGTGTCTCTCTTCCTTTGTCAGTACAAGGAAAACAACCCAACTTCATAAACAAATTTGGACACCTGATTCTGCAAGAAGGTGATGATTTAGATCTACACTGTACAATACACGGAGAGCCAAGGCCAAATGTCATTTGGACAAAAGATGGCATCAGAATGGCAGCAAGGGAAATAAGTGTATGTTTAAACGTTTCCTTTGGGAACAGTGGCTTATGCCTTTCATTTCAGCGCTAATCTCTTTTCATATTTCTTTTTTTTTTCCAGATTGAGAAATTAGGGGACATCTACTACCTTGTAAAAAGAAACGCCGTTGTTGCCGATACTGGAAAATATATCTGTCTTGCCACTAATGAATTAGGGGAGGCACACTGCTCAGCTTTTATCAGAGTAATAGGTAACTGAAGTTAACCACATTAGTATAATAAATGAGGAAGACCTTGTTCCCCGTGCTATCTGACACTTCCATTTCGTTTCAGAGAAAAATAAAAGTGACATATCCTCAATGCAAGACTAAATCAAATCAAGAGAAAGGCCATTTGCTGAAGAAAACAATGAGGACTGCCACACCCTCACCAGTACGAGGTCAAGATTGACATTGCTTGAGAGGTCAAATCAAACAAAAAAAAAACATTCCAAAAGGTAACTTCAGATTAGGCTCTTTCTGCTTTCGGAAGCACAGGAACAGCCCTTTGAGTGTTTTCTTTATAAAGCGTTCTTACGGTTGTCTTCTTTTCATATTGTGTTTTTTTTTTCATCAACAAAGCAGCTAACCTTCAGACATTAACCATGAGGCAAAGGGCCACAAGCAGACTCAGGTTTTCAAACTCACCACACTGCCTCTCCCAAAGAGGCAATACTGAAAGCAGAGGAACCCTTTAAGTGATTGCAATTTATGAAGTAAAGATTATACCTGGTAAGGAAATTCTCCACGTGATCATATACACTGTACACAACACAGTGATGGGCAATGACTTTTTGAGGTAATTATCACAGGAATGAGGAGGGGACAATAATGGTGGATGGGCTAATGCCACTTACTGAACAGAATTTCTGATGAATAAGAATTGTTGATCTTTAAAAGTCAATCTGCAGTCAGTCCATTCACTGGAGACATACTTGTTCTGACCTAGGTTTCCTTAAAAAGCATGAAGCAGAGTCTTGGTCCAGACAAAACCTCTTTTATTTACATGACTGTTAATTCCCTTCATTCACAGTCAGGAAGGCTTGGCAAACAGACTTTCAGAGGAATATTTATCAACACAAACCTTATCTCTCTTGGAGAGCTGCCAGATAACTAGTTCCCAAATGCACTTCCCACAGAGTTTCTTATAGTCATAAACAGAACTTTCCACTCTTGAAACAACTGAAAGAACAAATTGTTTTCTGCAAAAGCCCACTCCCCATTCGGTCCTTTTTTGTTTCCTCTGGAAGGGGCCAATCACCTCCAAGGTGTGTGTTTACTCCAGTGCTGGGATTCAAATAATTTAACAACCGGTTCTCTGCCCTAATGACCAGCTGGGTAGGTGGGGCTCAGTGGTCATGTGACTGGGTGGGCATGGCCAACTCAACGTCACTCACGTTGATGGGCACTTCACCTTAGCTGTTACAATGTACTAAGGTTTCTGTAAGTAGGGCAATAAAGATTAGGTTAGAAACAACGCCAGAATGTTTCCTTCCTGCCTTCCTTACAGGATTAGCCCTGTGAAGTGGAAAAAAACAAAATGAGATTTCTTCCAACAACTGTTTCCCCGAGCTGCTTAGAAAGTTAACAACCGGTTCTCTCGAATAGGTGCGAACTGGCTGAATCCCACCACTGGTTTACTCACAAGTCTACCCTGATTTCTTAGTTGTTCTTGTCTTCTGACAGTTCTCCTCATGGGTACACTGGGAACAGTCTCCAGCTGTTCCTCTGCCTCATTGCTGTCTAGCTCCCCCTCTGTCTCCAACACAGAGTCCTTGTCTGAGCTTTCCTCAGCCCCCGGGACTGGCCTCTGTTCCTCCCCAACTTCCTCACTGTCTGACTCTGCTGTCAGCTTCGCTGGCCACCGGTGGGCCACAACTTGGTAATGTGTAAGAAGCTGTGGAACCTTCTGGCAAACAAAGGTCTTACAACTTTAAATGTGGCAAGATATGGGACTTTATGGGATTTTATTGTACTTCTTTATTTTTTTAAAAAAGATTGCCCTTCAAAACTGTTTGCAGCGAGTGGCTTACAGCCCTCTGTTTTGTCATGAAGAAACAAATCATGCTTGCTCTGTGACATCTCATGTTCCAGATCAAGTTTCACGTGTTGAAATATTTTATCCTTAAATATGTCTGTAGTCAGACCAGACTCTGTGAAGAAAATAGATCTTTCTGCTCATGGAAAAGACAAAATCCAGAAAAGTAGAGGAGAAGGACGATTTCCCCAGAGCAGATTTTCAGAGGTTAAAAGAGGCAGTGGGGAAAGGGGGAGTGAAACCATCTGCGTGCTTCTGAAAGGAAGATGGTGACACTAGCACAAAGTTCTCCACTCCCACCCTTTCATTTTTGCATAGTTCAAATAAAGCACTGAGGAGAAGAAGGACATATTGCTTTCTTCCAATGCCCACCTGCTTCTGTTGTGTGAGTTTTATCATTTACAATCTTCTACTGTTTTGTAGGTTTTATTCAATAAGCTTTATTTAGTCGGGATCACTGACCAGTAATAAAGAATTTTTGACTTTTGTATAAATAGCATTTGCTGGATGTTATTTTGTCATGTGAATCCACCAGAGGTGGGTTCCTACCAGTTCTCACCAGTTCGGTAGAACTGGTTCGTCAAATCTACCGAANCTTATTTAGCGCATGCGCTCAAAAGCCCAATTGGGCTTATTATCTGGGGAGGTCTTATTTTCAGGGAAATAGGGTAGTATTTCTTCCTTCAATTTTTTCCCCCAAAACTTGGAATTTACCTATCCTGGGAGGTATGTTGCAATGAGACGGAGTGACTGAATCAAAGTCATTCCATGAATTTTCACAAGACAGGATATTTTACCCAATGTTTCAACTGCTAGACACTAGTCTTGTTTTGTATGGAAGAGAATCCAGATTCAAACCCAGCATTTCCAAATGCCTACAAAATATGTTCTGACTTGGAACTACTTGCCCAAAATTTTGGTCTAAAAAATTCTAGTGAATTGTATTTATTGGAAATAAAATGTTATTATTCTCATCCTACCTACGTCAGTAGTTACTAATGGGACTATTTTCCTTACAGTTAAGATGAGATATGGTACTCAGAAATGATGCCTCTTGTCTCCTTTAAACTTTGATGTTGGAACCTTTGCATATTTAGTTAGATTGCCAAGTGACCATTTGGTGGTTCCAGGTATAGGAACTGAATACTAACTGCAGGTAGTATTTTAATCCTTTTAACAATTATTTAAAGAACTTTACCTACTATGGAGAATGGTATAGCAATTTGGTAAGCAATTCTGAATATACAATATGTTAGAATAAATCTAAAAACCTGCCCATTATCCAAAGAACTATGTAAAAGAGGATTTGTTTACTGTCTGTTTTTACTGAATATGTGGGATAATTATTCCTGGGGAAATATGCTGCTTGGTAGAAGCAAATGTCTCAAGTGGTAGAGAAAAAAAGAGAAATGATGGATCAAAATGCTTAAGAGTCTGTGGATAAAGATAAATGTGAATGAAAATAAACATGGCTTCAAGACTGATATAAATTTTGAGAGTTTTGCCTATTTTAATTGGGCTTTACAAATAGGTTGGCATGTTAATGATAACTTTTGTATGGAACAGTAAAATAAAAAGGTTTATCTCTTAAAGTTTTAGCTTTTATATAATAACGGTGATTTCAGTTTTCCAGATTGTCTTCTGTATCATTGGCTGTATTTGTTAATTTCAGTAACGACAACAGGAGGAATTTGGTGATATTTCAGCACTTAAGGTGATTAGACATATTGGGGTATTATTGGACCAGAAACTAAAATTCTTGTTTGAATTCTCTTGAAAAATTGATTATCTGGAACAAATCCTTTAAAAAGTGGTAGGTAAAACTTTAATTTGTAGAGCACAATTTCAAAATTGGATTGTCATCATTAATTTGGTTATTACTGACATATTTTATAACTTTAAAATACTTTTTAAAGGGAATGTATATTACCTAAGGCATCTAAATGGAGATTATTGTATTCTTTGCTTCATTAGGAAGTTTTAGGAGTCTGTGGAACTGTAGTAAGCATTGGAAAAGATTTTTATACAAGCTAAATCAAGAAAATTATCAACAAAATTTGAAGATTAGAAAAATAATGTTGGATTACATACAAATAATGTTTTACACAGAATTAGAGTACTCTGTATTTTAAAATCAATCATTCCAGGAACATTACAGTTCTTTTTTATTATTTAACCATAGACTAATGTAACACAAAAGTGTTTTTCTGGTTCATTGGACGCTCCAAAATATATTTTTAAAAGGTTGGTTATCATTTGTCCTCTGTTAAACATACTGAATAATACATAGGTAAATGGAAAGAAAAGATTGTACATACGATTCCAGGTAATTTGGAACCACATTTTAATTTGTTTAAACAATTTAATTTGTTTGAAAATTCAGTTGTAGTTTTTTTGAAACAGAAACTCTGTTTCTGTCTGAATAGTATTGTGCCTTTATTTCTCAATCCCATGAAATGTGATCAAGATGGCTGAATGGAAAATAGGATAAGCTATTAGCGTTGTCACCATTTGACTCCTCCTCCTGAAAAAGATACATTTTCTACCCTTTTAACAGTGGTCTGGGAGAGGATTGCAGCAGCTGGATCAAGCCTCTTTTTCATGTTTTCATCCTCATTGTCCCTTTGGTTGCAAAATATTGCATTTTATGGCTGCATTCTTGGCTATATTGATTTATTTCTTATTTAATTCCTTCTTGTTCATACGGGTTTTATGTAAGCAACTTCACAAACCTAATTGAATGAAAATTAGAGTAAAGTACTTAGCATAAAGATGGAGCAAGGCAAACTCAACTGGGAAGGGAAGGCAAACTCATCATTGAAATGGAGTTGGGAGTAAAAAAAAAGATTTACACTTCTTGAGCTACATATCACCCCCTTATTTTCAATCTAGTCAACTGCTGTGATGTTTTCTGATTGGTCTATCTAAGACTATTCTTGTTGCCAAACAAGGGCAATCTTGTACCAGGGAAAGAAAAGGCAGAAAATTCATGGTTTTGCCTGGTTTCCCCAGTGCCTAATTTACATTTTTCTTCAGGTAAGTGTCTACTCAACAAATATGTGCAATTTCTTTTTAGAAAACAAAGCTAGTTTCCAGTAATCAGCAAAATTTCCAAGTTGGAAAAAAGAACTGTCAAACTGAGCAGTGTTCATTTTTCTCCAAAGCCAAGCCAGAAAGTTATCTTTCTGCATTATTTTGAGAACGCTTTGTTTATAGCTTCCCTCTTGGGAAGGTAAATGATCTTCACCTTAAACCATGCTATATAAATCTCAAAATTAGTTGGTTAATCTTTCATACATTGTACTTGTAAAAATATTAGTTACTCAATGTTTCAAGGGTAGATAAATTGAAGATGATGAGAAAGCAACTCTACATTTAATAATATTCATTTTGGGGTTTTGGAATCTCCCAGAAGGAAAATGGATCG